GAAAATTAGAAATCTGTGCATAGTTTGTTATAATATTAATTCCCCATGAAGTTTATGAAAACCCTTGGTATATGTGTATGTATTTATAATGTAATGAAAGCTCAGCATTTCTTTGTTAATTATGGAATAAAATATTCTCATATGCATGAATATCAAAAAGATTTTACCAATAAGAACTTATCTTTTAATTCCATTTGCCACATACTTTTTGGAGTATTCTTATATTAGCTTCCCATAGCTGCTGTAACAAGTCTCACAAAATGAATGCATTAAGCACCTAAAATTTATTGTCTCAATGTTCTTGAAACTAGGAGTCTGGGTTCAAGGTTGGCAGTGTTGACTTCTGAGGGCTGTGAGGAAGCATCTGTTCTATGCTGCACCCTTCACTTCTGCAATCTTGGGTGTTCCTTGGTTCACAGAAGGATCACCTCATCTCTGCCTCCCTTTCCACATGGTGTTTTCCATGTGCATGTCTATCCCCAGTCTAGAGTAGTAAGTATAAATATTCTTAGCTACTGATTTCACCAAGTAGGAATACATATTATTAGAAGAGATTCAGTCCGCCGGCACTGCAGCTTACTAGGCTAATCCTCCACTTGTGGCGCCAGCACCCGGGGTTCTAGTCCCGGTTGGGGTGCCGGATTCTGTCCCGGCTGCTCCTCTTCCAGTCCAGCTCTCTGCTGTGGCCCGGGAAGGCAGTGGAGGATGGCCCAAGTGCTTGGACCCTGAACCCGCATGGGAGACCAGGAGGAAGCACCTGGCTCCTGGCTTCGGATGGGCGCAGCGCACTGGCCGTAGTGGCCGGATGAACCAATGGAAGGAAGACCTTTCTCTCTGCCTCTCTCTCTCTCTCTCTCTCTCTCTCTCTGTCTAACTCTGCCTGTCAAAGAAAAAAGAAGAAGACGACAAAGAAGAAGAGATTCAGTCCAGTTTTTTTCTTTTTATCATCTAGCAGAGCACTTGGGAGGTATTTAATACATATTAGGTATAGTGAGCTGAAGTTTTAAATTATGATTTAAGAGTTGGGTACCTGGAGATATTGAATAGAAAAAGGGAGTCTTCCACGTATTCATCAGATGATGCTGAAGAACGAAAGGAAACAGCAGAAACAAGAAGCCTCATCAAGTCAAAAATAGTCTATCCATGAGCATGGATAGGGATGGCAACTTTGTGTCAAAATGGAAATACTTCATCAACTATTGTTATGCTTCATCAGAGTTTGGAATTCAGAAATAATACAAGAAAGTGAAGTTTACAGTGGCCATGAAACCCAAGGAAATACTTTCTTATTCCTAAAGTTTATGTGGTTTTCAATTATCTATTTTAGAAAATCTGAAGTACAAATCATTGCCATAAAAATTTCAGTAGTAAGTTATTGAAATAAAATAGATGATGTGTGGATTATGTCAGAGTGTGTCCATGTATATGTACATGTATATAGAGAGAGGAATAATGCATTTTTTAAAAGATTTATTATTCATTTGAAAGGCAGAGTGACAGAAAAGGAAAGATCGATCTTTAATCTGGTTCACTTCCTAAGTTGCTGCCTGACCGGGGGTGAGTCTTCACAAGGCCAGGAATCAAGAACTCTGTCTGGGTCTTTCACATGGATGACAGTTACCCAGGTTCTTGGGACATCCTCTGTTGCCTCTCAGGTTCATTATCAGGAAGCTGGATTGGAAACGGAGACAGGACTTGATCCCAAGCATTCTGTTAAGAGATGGAGTCCTCCCAAGTGGCTGCTTAGCACACGGTGCCACAACACAAGCTCCCATAGTGAATTATTAAATGCTAAAACACCTTCATTAAAATAGTTGCATACTGGGGCCAGCATTGTGGTGTAACAGGTAAAGCTGTCACCTGCGACGCCGGCATCCCACAGGGGCACTTGTTCAAGTCCCTGCTGCTCCACTTCCGAACCAGCTCTCTGCTACTGTGCCTGAGAAAGCAGTGGAGGATGGCCCAGGGACTAGGGCCTGTGTACCCCCACAGGAGACCCAGAAGAAGCTCCTGGCTCCTGGTTTCAGTCTGCCCAACTCCTAGACATTGCAGCCACTTGGGGAGTGAACCAGAAGATGGGAAATCTCTCTCTCTCTCTCTCTCTCTCTCTCTCTCTCATTCTTTCTCTCTGTAACTCTGCCTTTCAAATAAGTAATAAGAGAACCTAAAGTACACGAACAATTGTCTTCTCTTTATTTCAAATATAGACAGATATTTATTTAACTTTAATAGAGTTTCTATGTGTTTTATATTGTGCCAGCCTACAGATTGTTTCCATATTTTTAGAATGAAAAACAAAAATAAAAATTTTTCAGCTATAATTTGTTAAACTTTTTGCCTATGAGCCCTAGAAATATTTAGCTTCATCATTTTTCTCCAGTTGGAGAAATTTAATATCTACTTCTTTACAATAAATATAATTTTTGTTGAATATTTTCTGGATATTAGAAGAAATCTGTAACAATCCTAAACCAGTATTTGGAACATATTTTCCAAGTTTCTCATTAGATTTCAGAGGTTCAATAGAAATATAATATACTTTATATTTTTCTTCTTACTTGAGAAAATTATCTTTAAATTTTAATTCTAATCCAAAGAAAGATATTTTTAGTTTACCAAAAAATTCTTTCCAAGTACAGAAGCTATACCTTCTCAGACAATGGGCATAACTCACAGACTGAGTTAAAACTTAGAAGGGAATATGCAAAAATAAACTTCCCTAAGGAAAATCAGTAGTTACTTCTACACCAAAAATACACACACACACACACACACACATATACATATATAATTACTATTATCCCAACTGAGATTGTTGGCCCAGAAACAACATTAATCTGATTTGGGAAACATCCTTAGTACACACTGCTCTTTAATCTGTGTTCTGTAGTTCATAAATAGCATCATCAACTTTTCAGGTTTTCCAAAATGAAAACCTCAAGCAATTCTCAGGTCCTCTCTCCATTTCTCTGCTTTGCCCATCAAATGGGAAATTCTGCCAGTTCAGCTTCTAAAAACTGATGAAATGCATTTCCTTCTCCATGTCTCCCTTAATTCAAATGCCCACATTCTAACATGGATGAGTGTGGGAGTCCGTAAATGCGCCCATCTCCCTGGTCTGCTCTGAACCTGGAAGCCCCCACTGAACCCATGCTATAAACCTGACTTGTCATTCTCTGCATCAGAAATCTTTTAAGTTTCACTGTTCTCCAGACTCTAGACATTCTTACAGTTTATTTGGAGACATTCACTGCTTCTGCATGCTTTTTTCAGATCCAGGCATTAGTAACAGAAATGACATCAGTTTTACTAATTGTATTGGTAATTTATTGCTAATTCTATAATTTTAATGCAAATTTCTTTTAATACACACTTTACAAATATTTAGACTTGCTCCAATTACAGTCTCAAACTTCTCTAGGAATACAGGTGAACACATCATATATTATATGTATTATATACTTATATATACAATACATATACATATTCACTTATATTTTACTTTGTTTTGAAAGCTTGGAAGTATGCTTTAAGCCTTAGTAGTAATCCAAGGATGGCCATCTTATTAGGTTGCAATAAATGTGGCCTAAATACCCTAGTTTATAATTCAGCGAAGTGCTTGGAGGAGGCACAGTAGGAATGATGAATGGTAAGGATGGGATTATTACTCAAGTCTCATTTGTGACAGTTGACTTCCATGATATTTATCTTACATTTTTCTTTTTGGCTGTGTGTGTGAGTGTAATACACTTTATATATTAGCATTGGTCCATCTATTATTATATTGGCAGCAGGAGATTTTCATTGATTAGTTTCTCTCTATTTGCTTTTTCTTTCTCTAAACCTTCAGCTGTAATGCAGAAGATTTATTTTCAATGATTTATTAAAATGTAATTCTAAGGTGACTCCTTATCAAGGAAGTAATCTGCAGGCTATCTTTGTTTAAACTTGCAACCTGCTTTGTCAAGGAAAACTGCCTATGAAATTTTCATTATAATAGACAGCTTTTCATAATGAATGAAAAACAGCTATTATGATTGAAAACAAATTGCTCTGAAACATATTCTTTGAAACAATGTGCTGCTTAATTGTATTTTGGAGGAGGGGGAGGCTAAGGCAATTCTATTTAATTGGTTACATTTTTCAGTTCTATAAATTAATTTGCACTACCCAATATCACTTAATTTTTCCCTAGGAAAGCTTTTGCTTGCCCTAGCAATATTATAACTGCTAATTCAATTACACTGAAATTGTTTAATAGAAAATATAATTGCTTATTCATACAGAATACCCATTAAAGGAGTGCAAAAGCGTGAACCCGAGGGTTACTGCATATTAATACTTTGGGAATAAAGATGGGAATGTTGTGCAGAGAAGGTGCCGACTGATCTTTAATTGTTCATCACCTGCCTCCAAAATAATATGAATGGACCCAAACTAAATGACCACTCATTACAAGTTTCAATTTAGGAGCTTGGCTGGGGTCAGCAGATTGCTTATGCTGATCGCAATGATTTGAAGTTGTGATTACCATAAGCAATTTAAATTTTATTGATCTCCCCTTCTGAAAGTTGTAATTGAGCATGGATGTTGGACTCAGAGCTCTCCAAACTAAATTGTACTCTGAAGCCCTTGCTGGATTCCTGCAAGAATCAATAAGCAGTCAGTCACATTAACAATGAAATAGGTCCATTAACATACGGTGCTATTGGTGAAACTTTATTTAGGAAGGGTGTTAGTTCACTTCATTGTTTTATCAATGAATCTTGGCCGTACAAGGAGAAGTATTGCTTTAATATGTGTAATAAGCTTGTATGAAAATGAAATTATATATTATAAATATATGGAATATGACCGGGTAGGCAGTTGAGTCCTTATAGGAGAGTCGTTGTGATTCATGTCATCATGTTACTGTAAACAGAGGTTTCATATGACTGGGATTGCAGCTTGCCTGCTGCAGTGCCTTGCAGTAATTTGGAATTTTTATGTCTCTTTATTAGATACAAGGTTTCCCTCCATCAAGGTTAAGTACATCTTGAAGTCTCCATGTTCCTTGGTAAGTAGTGGCTTGTTAGGGAAGCTATACGACCTACCCCACTGAGCCAGAGACAGAAAGCTGGGAATTCTAACAGAAATCTAAATGGTTCCAAGCAATTTGGGTCAGTATTTTACACCCAGGGCCCTAGTGAGCTTTGTTAACAACTCTGGCCTACCTATTATAATCAAATTATAGAATATTTAAAACTATAGCAGTCTATTAAAACTTTATGCAAACAGGGCATTGGGGATAAGAGGTGTCAATTTTGAGGGTGATTAAAGAAAGTATAAGTGTTTAATTTTCTAAAATTAATTGGTTATTACTTGCTTCTTCTATTCACTTCCCTTCTACTTCCTAATCAAATGGTGAATAGTAAGCTCTTGAGGCTTCTCAACCTCTTGGAAATTTTAAGTCTCAGGAAGTACAGGGATAATGACACTATCATCTAAGAAACCTTCCAATTCCCTAAGTTGTAGAATATGTGGATGATTCATTGCATATTGTCTTCAACTGTACAATGTGGTATAGGAGGAAGAGAATGGAATCAAAATATCTTTCTGTATGGTCTTTATGATCTTAATTAATATGGATAAACATTACTTCCTGGCTCCCTCTGAATAGCCTAGGATACTGATGAGAATCTCCGTTAAGAGATCTAGGTCATGGATGCTGCAGGCCCTTATTATTTAAGAATTAATTTATTCATTAGACACTGAGATATGTTTTATTTTTGGATCTTCCTTACTCAGTTATGACATCTAGTTTGGCTAGGGTCAGGAATGGCCAAGAAGTGGGGACAGAAGGTCAAATCATGAGCCAGGGATATGATGGGCAATCTCATCTGGTCCAGAATGTGTGGCAGGTTTTTACTAGAATATCACAGAGAATAAATCCGGAACTCCGCTTCTCAACCACATTTTTTATCCTGCATGAATATTAATTCAAATATGGTCCTGGATCACATTTCTCTCCTTATGAGAAAGCCCTACATTGGGGCTTTGCAAAACTGATTTAAAACAGAAATAGTGACCCACATAGTGCTACAGAGGAGGCATGTTTTAGGAATCTAAATGCTACATTTTAAACCACTTCTATATAGCTAATGTGTTAGCAATACTGCTTCACCTCCCCTAGACTCAGTTCCTCAGTGACACAAGAATAGAAGACACTTCTAACACAGAGTTGACAGGAGGATTAAATGAGATAGTCCATGTAAAGAATTTAGTATAGTGCCTGGCACAGAATGAGCTTACAATAAAAAGCTGGTTGTTATGAGGATGACAGACCTACAGGTTGCCCAGGAAAGCATGATTTTTTTTTGACAGGTAGAGTCATAGACAGTGAGAGAGAGAGAGAGAGACAGAAAGAAAGGTCTTCCTCTGTTGGTTCACTCCCCAAATGGCCACCACGGCTGGCGTGGTGCTGATCTGAAGCCAGGAGCCAAGTGCTTCCTCCTGGTCTCCCATGCGGGTGCAGGGGCCCAAGCACTTGGGCCATCCTCCACTGCCCTCCTGAGCCACAGCAGAGAGCTGGACTGGAAGAGGAGCAACCGGGACTGGAACCCGGTGCCCATATGGGATGCCGGTGCCACAGGTGGAGGATTAACCAAGTGAGCCATGGTGCTGGCCCAAGCCGTGATTTCTTATTAAGATTGTGTTGTTGAAATGATTTGGATGACAAATGACATGTCCACTTTAGTTTTTACGGTAAGTGAACAGAATGGTGTAGCAATTTTTGATGGGAGGAAGTGAAAATGGAGAGAATTCCAGGAGCCTTAGGACTGGATGAAGATTAGTGCTCATGAAAAGCAAGGTGAAATGGGTTATTCACCTTGGGTTGTTCAGAACATAGATAGTTTAGAGAAAATGCAAAGTTGCTGAATGTTTTCTTTTGCAAGCCTCAACTTAACTTTTCCAATCTCCATGCCCCTTTTGGACTCTGTTCTGCACAAACACACTCCTCTTCCATGCAGCATTTCTTTTCTTTTCTTTTTTAAAAAGATTTATTTACTCATTTGAAATGCAGAGTTAGAAAGAGAGGGAGATGAGGGAGGGAGGGAGGGAGGGAGAGAGAGAGAGAGAGAGAGAGAGAGGTCTTCCATCCTTGGGTTCACTCCTCAAATGGCCACAATGGCCTGAGCTGTGCCGATCTGAAGCCAGCATCCAGGAGCTTCTTCCAGGTCTCCCACGTGAGTACAGGGATCCAAGGACTTGGACCATCTTCTACTGCTTTCCCAGACACATCAGCAGGGAGCTGGATTGGAAGTGGAGCAGATGGGGTTTGAACTGGTGCCCATATAGGATGCCAGCACTGCAGGTGGTGGCTTTACCCACTATGCCACAGCGCCGGCCCATCATTTCCACACTCTTAAGCCTGATTAGGGCTTCCCTAGTGGCATCTAATCCAGGTCAGCTTTTTGGAAAAAATGTTTCATATTCTGGGTGCTATTGTTGTTAATCACTTCCAGCTTAATTGCTTCTAACTTGTCTGCTATGCTCCAGTATAAACAATCTCCCATCTAAATTCACATGAAATTGCTATGGCTATGGGTTTTTGTTGTTGTTGTTGTTTTTAAAATGTTCGTTGAGTGGGTAATCAAATGAATGAACCCTCATCAGGGTATTTGTGTTTCAATAAAAATCAGATGATACAGTCCTTATAATGAACGACATTCAAATAATAACTTAAGGCTTTATAGCAGGCTATTAAAGGAGATACTATAAAGCAAGAAGCTTTCTGGGTGTCTTTTAAATCATCTGGTATTGGTTATTATTTGACCTCTTGAATAGTGGAAAAGATATAGCGGACTATTCAGAGAAAGATATAGGATAAATGGATAAAATGATTTTGAGCAAATTAAAAGAGTAAAACAAAATACAGGGGCCTTCCAAAAGCTCATGGAAATGGACAGTCTCTTTTAATTGCACTTCCCCATGAACATTTTTATGTGGCCGCATAGAAGTGATAAAATAATTAGAAAAACAAGAAAATAAGCTGTGGGGTTGGCGTTTGGCCCAGCAGTTAAGTCACCACTTGGAACTCCAGTATCCCATATCAGTGTACCTGGTTTGAGTCTCAGTCGCAACACTTCCCGTCCCCTTGTTTCAGCAGTGTGACCTACCTTTGGTCACACAGTGGTCATTTGAAGAGCAAATCAGCAGAAGGAAGATCTGCTTCTGTCTCTTTGTCTCTCTGTCTTTTAAATTAAATGAAAATAAATTAAAATTAAATAAAATAAGGCGAAATTTTCTTTGGGAACAACTAAAGCAAATTAAAAATGTGTTATTTCAATGAATTGAAATATTGGAAAAGAGCAACCAAGGAAATAAAGGTACATCATGACACAGGTGATCTTGGTCAAGCAGGTTTTCTAGGTTACCTATGGCATTAAAGATGTAAATCATGAATCCACAGGTATCCTGAATGCTAAGGGGATTTGATTCCATTATTCTAGGCAGTCAGTTAATATGATTATTTTGTATTACTTAACCTCTGGGTTCTTTTTCTCAAACTGCACTGAGATAGATCAGTCCATATTTGTTCACAGGTGTGCAATCAGAATGGTTTTCCAAGCATTTTTTTAAAAATATTTATTTATTAATTTGAAAAGCATAGTGTTGTGAGAGAAGGAAAGACACATAGACACATACACACAGAAAGATGAGAGAGAGGGAGGGAGAAAGAGAGAAAGAGAGAAAGAGAGAAAGAGAGAGAGAGAGAGGAAGAATATCTTCTATTCACTGGTTCACTCCTCAAATGTCTGCAACAGCCAGGGATGGGCAAGGTCAAAACCAAGAGCCAGCAAGACATCCAGGTCCCTCGCCTTGGTGGCATAGATTCAAGTATTTGGGTCATCTTCTGCTACTTTTCCAGGTGCATTAGCAGGGAGCTGGATTGGAAGTGGAGCAGCTGAAATTGGAACTGCTGCTTTAATGAGGGATGCTGTGATTCAAGCAATGGCTTCACCCACAGCCCCACAGGCACTCGTCTCATCCAAGGACTTCTGCTAAAACTTCCCTTCCAAAGAAGTTAACTTGTATATTTGTGATCATTTAAAGTATGTCAATATATTACCTAGTAGGCCTTTACCTTCATATCAACAATACACAAATTCTAAGAAAAATAAATTCTTTGGATATTATTATTATTGTTGTTGTGTTCCTATACAAGCAAGAGAGATGAGAAAGAGTTTTAACTTATGGGAAAAAACAACTCTGCTCTTGTTGGAAAATCATGTGCTTCTTTTTGCTTTCTAATCATTAGCAACAACAGAGTATTGAACATATATCTCAATTATCTCCCAGTAATGTCAATGTAATGTTTTAGTCTGTTCCTTGTAACACAATATCACGGTCTGGGTAAACTATAAGGAAAGTAGGCTTATGTCAGCTCATGAGTCCAGTCCAAGGTTGTAGAACTGCATCTAGTGATGGTTTTCTTGCTGGAAGAGTCCTGGGGCAGTACAGGGTGACATAGGGTAAGAGAAGGAGCTCAAATGTGTGTTCTGTGGCTCACTCCCTCTATTTATAAAAACTACCAACATTAGTTGTGACCATATCTAATCCTAATCATCTCCTGAACAGTACTACCTCAACATCATGGTTGAATTTCCTATCTTCTTAAAGCTTCACAATAGGGATTTAACTGCAACATGAATTGCCAAGGGACAAACAATATTGAAATCATAAGGAAGAACCACTGAAATAACTTGTGTCTTGGTGGTTATGACCTTAAAGCCACCATTATTGCAATTCCTACTCACCTCAAAACTTTTTTTAAATGATTATTTATTTGAAAGGCAGAATTACAGAGAAAGGGAGAGAGAGAGAGAGAGAGAGAGAGGTCTTCCATCCTCTGGTTCACTCCTCACATGGCTGCAATGGCCGGAGCTGAGCCAACCCAAAGCCAGGAGTCAGGAGCTTTTTCTGGCTCTCCCACGTGGGTACAGGGACCCAAGCACTTGGGGCCATCTTCCACTGCTTTCTCAAGTGGATTATCAGGGAGTTGGATCAGAAGTGGAGCAGCCAGGACTTGAATTTGCACCCATAGGTATGCTGGCACTGCAGGAAGCGGCTTTACCTGCTGTGCCACATCTCCAGCCCCTACCTCATAAGTTTTTTGGTTTACTAACATGTGTAGTCTGTTAACTATTTCTAATAGTAAAATATGACACTGAATACTAGATAGACTAGTGATTTGAAGATGTATAAGCTTGTTTTCCCAAGGTTTCATCATCCATGGATAATCTTACTATGAGGTACAGCTTTGCAAAGCTGGCAAATGATGACCACTTCACCTTACTCTGCTGCCCACCTCATCATACATAATATTTTATTATTAAAAATGAGGTTTTTTCTGTTATCTATCTACCGTCTCTGTATATCTATCTGAATGTCTTTAGTTTCCTTGGTGTTTATGACTTTCATAAGCATTTTGCATCAGTTAAATACTTTAAGTGCCAATCAATCTTTTAGAAGAATAGAATAACTATCCTATTTTTATTTAATAGCTGAGGAAGTTGGAATAAAACTTTTTATACGTTCATGGTAAGTCATTGGAATTTTCCAGTTCTTGGTCCATTACTCTTTCCATGATATAATTTTTCTTTAAATATTTATTTATTTATTTGAAAGGCAGTGTTACAGAGAGAGGAGAGACAGAGAGAGGGAGAGAGATCTTCCATCTGCTTGTTCACTCCCCAGGTGGTCACAATGGCCAGGACTGGGCCAGGAGTTTCATCTGGGTCTCTCATTGGATACAGGGGCCCAAGTAATTTAGACCATCTTCTGCTGCTTTCCCAGGTGCATTAGCAGGAAGCTGGATCAGATCAGCAGCTGAGACTGGAACCAGTACCCATATGAGATGTTGGCATAGCAACTGGCAGCTTAACCCACTGCACCACAACAACAGACCCTCCATGATATAATTTACAGAGTATAATATTTGCTATCTTGTATAACACAAATCCATTAAGTAAAATAATAATATCAATGGACTATTTTGCAAATCTTTATGAATATAATCTCTTCAGAGTGGATAACAATATCAGAGTACCTTAAAAGATGCACTTGTACCCAAAGAAAGAATTAGAAAAAAAATCCTTGTTGCAGAAACTAGCCAAAATATTAAATCCCACTTTTTGTTAGTGGAAATAGTACTGGCAGAAGTTGCTTTGCTTTGGACACAGAATCAAATCAATTATGTAGTTAATTATTTTATCATGATTTGACCCTCATACGGTGGCAGGGTAGGCATCTTCATCTTATAAAGTAGAGAATTGAGATTCAAAAGAGCCAAAATGTGCAGCTTTCCCAAGATTATATAATTGGTCAGTAATAAACTTGAAAATAATATTTAGACCTTTGAGTTACACATTTGATACGGTTTCTTCTACCTGTTAGGGGAGTGTGACTAGATTTTAGTCTGGTCAGTATAAAGCTGTGCCACTCTTGCACTTCCTTTCTGACTGATCACTTCTGCCAATCTGATAGCTTCATGATAGATGAATTTATGTGTTTTCCCCTATTCTTTATGCTGGACCCAGAAGATCTACAGACTAACGTGCATGCTTTTTTTTCTTAAGAACCCTGGGTTGTTGTCGCTCCCCCTCTTCGTGGAGGAACGACACTAAGCCCTGCCTAGGCTTCATATCCGAGTCACGGCACCATTATGTCGCTCCCCCTCTTCGTGGAGGAACGACACAGGACCCTGCGCTGTTCTTTCGTCTGCTCGGCCCTCCCCGGGTTTGCTGCTGGTTCTTCCCGGGTTGGCTACTATCCCTTCCACCTCCGTGGAAGGGCAGTTCCCCCTGGCCACATTCCCCACTTCCGCAGGGGAGCGGCACACCGCCGGCCGGCTTTCTCGGGGGCTGCACAGGTGTTCCTTCAGCTAGATGTTCCCCTTAGATGTTCCTGGTGAATGCCGTCTCTCTCCTCCTTTATAGTCCTCCTCCGCCAATCCTAACTCGGCT